ATCAAATCAAACTCTCTAACCAAGATTTCCACACGCAAGAACCAATAGCCATTAACATTCGGAACACCGGAAATTCAAACAAACTACGAAAACCAACAAAATGTAAAAACACAATCTCCCCCAATCCGACTGGTCCTCGTGGGGGATGAAGACCACAACCCTCCAACACTACAAATAAGGGAAGATAAAATCTATATTGCAGCACTGAATACCCTCACTCTAAAAAATGAAGAAAACTTAACGGAATTAACATTCGCGCTAGAACATATCAAATGGGACATCGTTGGTCTTAGCGAAGTGAGGCGATTGGGAGAAAGAATTGTTTCGTATCGGGATTTCTTGTTGTACCATATAGGGACCACTCCTGGCCACCATGGGGTCGGCTTTATCGTAAAGAAACACCTGGCAGACTATATAGAAGGATTTATGGGCATTTCGGAGCGCACAGCAATGATGAATTTAAAGCTACCAGGATACCAAGACTCATGGTCTATTATACAAGTGTACTCACCTACAGAACAGTCAGACCTAGAAACAATAGACACATTTTATCTTGAATTAAATAAAGTCATCCGAGATCACGCTCATAAAAATTTAATAGTAATGGGAGACTTCAATGGCAAAATTGGAGACAAGGGTCCTGGAGAAAACACACTAGGACCATTCACATATTGCAACAAAACCAGAAACAGGAACGGAGAAAAAATTATGAACTTCACACTAGAAAACAACCTTACTATTTTAAATACTATATATAAGAAAAATAAGAAAAGAATGTGGACTTGGATCTCACCAGACGGGAAGACAAAAAATGAAATTGATTTCTTTATGACCAACAAACACAGTTACTTCAGCAACTTCAACGTCATCAACCAACTCAACTTTAACACCAATCATAGGCTGATCAGAGCCGAATTAAAAATAAAACAGCCAAGAAAACCTAGACCAAGACAAGATCCAGCAAGTGTAAAGCTCGGAAAATACCAAATGGAACAATTAACAACCAGCCTGAGAGACAAATTCACAAACTTTAAAGCAAAAACAAAGAACCTAAACATACAGGAAAAATACAACTGGATCGAGAATATTATTAAAACTGAAACAAAACTCGCTGCAAACGCCAGTAGGGAACACAAGCAATGGCTTACAACTACCACTATAAAATTGCTCGAACAAAGGAGCCACTTAATTAACACAAGAGACGCAAACGACAGAAGAAAACATCTAACAGAAATTAACAAAGAAATAAAGAAAAGCATAAGAATAGATAGGAACAGGTATAGAATGGAGACTATTGAAAAACACATATTAAAAACGGGTGGTATCAAAAAAGCATACAAGGAACTAACGAAATCTTTAGACTGGGTAGTAAAAATGAAAAGCAATAGAGGAAAATGGAACCACGACAGAAAAGACATATTGCAAATTGCAACATCCTACTACAAAGAATTGTATGAACGCAACAACACCTCGCGAGAAGAAATAAATTTAATAGAGACCTCAGATATCCCCAAGATTCTTCACGTAGAAATAGAGAAAGCAATAGACACACAACGGAAAGACAAAGCACCAGGGCCCGATGGTATAAGCAACGAGATCTTGATACGAAATAAGCAGGCAATCATACCGATCCTTACAGAAATGTTTAATGATATTATAGACACAGAAATCATCCCACAGCAATGGACAGAATCAAACATCATCCTTTTATATAAAAAGGGAGACAAACACGACATCGGAAATTATCGTCCAATCAGTCTCATGTCTAACATATATAAGATATTTGCCAAGATAATTTTAAAACGGATAGAAGGAACACTAGATGATCATCAACCCATCGAACAAGCGGGTTTTCGGAAAGGCTACTCAGTAATAGATCACATTCATGCTGTCCGCCAGGTCATAGACAAGTATAAAGCATACCAGCGCGAGTACTACATTGCTTTCATCGACTATACCAAAGCATTCGACTCATTATACCACGAAAAAATATGGAAGTCCCTAAAGGAACAAGGAATCGAGCAAAAATATATCCGCTTAATAAGAAATGTATATAGTCATAGCACCGCAAGAATCCAACTAGAAAAGAAAGGTAAACCATTTACAGTAGGAAGGGGTGTCAGACAAGGAGACCCTCTATCTCCAAAACTATTTTCAGCGGTTCTCGAAACAATCTTTAGGGGTCTTAACTGGGCAAACCTGGGAATCAATGTCGACGGAGCCTCCCTAACACACTTGAGGTTTGCAGACGACATAGTGTTATTTGCTGAAACACCGGAAAACATACAACAAATGATACATGAACTAGCGGATGAAAGCGAGAAGATAGGTTTAAAGTTGAACCCAGAGAAAACAAAGGTAATGACAAACGGGAAGAAAATAACCATACACTTACGAAATAACCAAATCGATTACACCGACGAATATATATATCTGGGACAGCTAATAACACAAGAGGATCCCATACGCAAAGAAGTCGAGAGAAGGATAACAAATGGCTGGAAGAGATACTGGAGTCTGAGAGAGGCCATGAAAGACAAAACTCTTCACATTAATGCAAAGCAAAAACTTTTCAACACCTGCGTTTTACCCGTGCTAATTTATGGCTGCCAAACATGGATTTTAACACAAAATATGACAAGAAAACTGGAAAGTTGCCAACATGCAATGGAAAGAAGTATGCTGAATGTGAAAAGGGCGGACCGAATAAAAAACCATGTCATCCGTAAAAAGACGAAGGTCATAGACATAACATCCAAAATCAGAAGACTCAAATGGCAATGGGCAGGGCACATGATAAGAGGTCAAGAGAAATGGAGCAAAATTGTGACACGATGGTACCCTAGAGAAGGAAAAAGGAAAAGGGGCAGACCACAGAAAAGGTGGGATGATGACATTAGGCAAGTGGCAGGAATAACGTGGAACAGAGTGGCCCAAGATAGACAGGAATGGAAAAGGTTGGAGGAGGCCTTTGCCGACTGGCAAACAGACCTACAAAAATTAATTAAGTATTAGAATAGAATAATAGAATAAGTTCAGATAAAATATATATAGCCATACTCTTAGTTTTAAGTTCTCAATACTTTGTAAATAGATGCTAAGTTGGTCTGAATAAAGGGCTTTATTATTATTATTATTATTATTATTACAATTTGTTATGCACATTATTCATTGAAGTCGGCAATATTTATTTACTTTATCTGACTGAAGTCATAGGCCTATATTTTGCATAAATTACTTAATAATACGTACGTACGTGAAAATGAGTAGCGCCGAGTAAATTAATGAGTAAAAACTGGCTTATGAAACAAAATCAGCATTCCTTACCAGTCTAGTAACTTGCCGGTTCCCACAACTATTTAAGGAGTCTGCATACCTTCCATCGATCTTTCGTTTCTGCTCAATACATTTGCTACATTTTACATCTTGTACATTTTGTATGGAATAGAATTTATAATGATCAGGGTTTGACTGGCCTAGCGATCTTGACTGCTAAACCAGAGATCGTGCTTTTGATTTCCGCCCAGGACAAATATTGTTTTGTTTTTTTCTCAGCATAATTGTCATAGCTTGGTTTGAGATTTGACGGAAGTGTGTCCGTGTGCGTAAGATAAATAAATAATAACCTCACACATCTAGGCACTTCATCCACTCCATTACCATTAATTAAACTGCTAATAAACACATATATTTTTAAATAAATTATCATCATCATCATCTCTGAGCTTATCGCAGTCCACAGCTGGACATAGGCCCTTTCCATTGCACGCCACTTCGACCGATTTTTGGCTTCCAGCTCCCAACTCCTGCCAGCCATCTTACGCAAATCATCACTCCACCTGCCATGTGGGCGTCCTGTACTATGAAATCGCAATCGCAAGTGATAAATCATATGATTTAGACATCATTTCCCCACACCTGTGACTGATTTAGAAAACCACTGCTACGTAATTATTATTTTTACGCTGGCGCAAGACGCGCGAAAGGTTTAAATCTAAAAAAAAGGTCGTAATCTTTGATGAAAAGAATTTCGATTGATTTAAAATGCCATTTATCTTTGACCATGACGAAATTGCAATCACGTGTGCAATCACTCTGACTAAAACCAATCATTTCATCAAAATTAATATGATTTAAAAGTAGCAGCAATTTCCAAGTTTACTAGCTGTGCCCTGCCACGCTTCTCTGTGACACATTGTGGTTGCATTGATGAGAAATGAAGAACAAAAGAGACGCGAAAAAGGGTTAAAAACAATCTTTGAAGTGTGTTGTATATCGTGTCAAAATTTGGGCTCAATCGGTGCAGAACTTTTTGAGTTTTTGAAGCGTACATAAACCAACTTAACATTTTTATATACAGATATGTGAGTAAGAATCGAATCCACGACCTTTGGCTAAGCAGTCATGGTCACTGACCCTTAGACCAAGAGGTCAGCCAATATGTGTCAAGTTGAAAAAAAACCCGTAGAACAGATAAAATAATAATAACCTTACACATCTCACACACGACAGTCTGATCCCAAACTAAGCAGAACCTGTACTATGGTAACCAGACTGCTGATAAACATACTTGTATATTTATAAATACACAAATATTATAGATAAATTACACCCAGACACAGAACAAATGACCGTGCTCATCACGCAATATTTTTCCTGGGTGGGAATCGAACCCACGACCTCCGGCTTGGCAGTCAGGACCACTAACCACTAGACCAACAGGCCCGTCAAATGGGTAAAAAGGATTGGTGACAATGCTAATAACTCCAGCGCAGTATTGTGATGTACTTTAATGTAATTTATAGTCTCGATTGTCAGCACTTGGTGGAACTTGTTTAAATACGTTATTAATTTTAATTTAATTTGATTTGACCTGACCGGTTCGCCTTATGGCATTATTCGGTAATCGGTTAGGTCAAATTAATTTAAATATTGAACTATAAGTACAATCGAGTTTGATTTCATAATGTACTTTAATGTGTTAATATGTGTTGTTTCAGATTCCAACATGGACGTTGAGAATGGTAATTGCAAGAAAAAGGTGTCTCAGTGCACAGATATGGAGATTTTACCCATAGAAAAGCCATTGAAAGTTGACGTGTAAGTTTAACTAAAACAGCTTATGGTGGGTGAGCTTCGGCTCAAATGGGCCGACTGAACCGGTGATACCACGGCTTCACAGAGAACCGTTGTTTAGCTATTCATTCGTTGCTTTTCTCTGAGTTGGTGAGGTTACAGAATCCCAAATCGAGATCAAAGGATGGCAAAGCCCTTGTGACTCAAGTGTCCATTAGCGATGGTAGTCACTTGCCATGAGTCATCTCTCCATTCCTTCCTATGCCATTAAAAAAAACTATTAATATTTGATATTTTTTTATAATTCCTTGTAACCTGCTCCGGCTTCGCACGAATTTAATCCATCCATTCTTATACTTATTATAAGTTTGAAAGTGTGTCTGTCTGTCTGTCTATCTGTTACCTCTTTAGGCTGAACCGATTTAGATGAAAATTGGTATGAAGATAAATTAGGTTCTTGAGAAAAGAGATAGGCTGCTTTTAAAAGCTAGTTTAGAATAAATACAATTCTCTAGCTCTCAAAGTTTAACTTCAGTAACACGTGTAATTTTTCGACATAATGTTTGTAAAATATTATTTTTGTGTTGTGTTTGTGTGTTGTATTTTAAAACCACTTAACTTCACCCACACTGTAAAAAGCCATAAAAGTATGGCTTAACACTGGATTTCTTTGAGGTCATAGTATAACTCCAAGGCTGGCAACGCGCTTGTGACTCCTGAGTTGCAGACGTTCATGGGCGGCGGTAGTCGCTGTCCATCAGGCAACCCCCTGCTCGTTTGCCCCCTATTCCATAAAAAAAAACTCCGGTCTAGCTGAAGCATGGCTCTACCACATTGTAACTATGGTGAATTTTGTTCACACGGTGTATGTATTTGTTTTGCAGAGAAATCAAGGGTTTGCAGAGACTAATCGAGGAGTTGCACGTGATGTTCTCCCGGGACTATGTCAACGTACACGAGATCCAGCGACTTATGTGTGGATACAAATCGAACCCAAAAGACTGGATGAAATTCGCCAAATTTGATCGTTTTCGGTAAGTAATTACTAATATATATTTTTATGTTACTTCGTCATCATTCCTTAAGCCTTTGGATGTTCTGTAGTCGACAGAGATTAAGAATACAGAGTCTCACCACCCCTATTCATCCGTGGGTGTCGTAAGAGCCGACAACGGGAGCAAACTACGCAGGATAATAACACTGCAAAGGGAATAAAAACTTGACACAAACCCTATACGAACCCGTCTGGCCAGCGTGGCATAGTAGGCCAAAACCTCCTTTCTAAGGACAGGCCTATGTCCCGCAGTGGACTAGTAAAGGCTGTTGATGATAGTTTACATAAGGTTTTTCGTCAGTGTGTATGTTTATGTCATAATTTATTGAATTACGTCAAAATTGCGACATAATGATTAGGCAGAGAGAGATGTGCACAATAAGAAGAATATGTTTGTTTGTACGCCGATTGTCTGATTACAAAAGCCATTGCGTGGTTTCTTAAACAAACTCATTTTTGGTGTTTTGTCAACGAAAACAATAGATGAACAATTTTAGGAATTGACAAGAAATAGTTGAATTTAACTTTTAGAAAAATATCAATTATTCTTTGCTAGCCGCCCCGGCTTCAATCAGGTGCAATGTAGATGGGTCGCTGCGGCCACATCTTGGGGCGATGTGACCGCTGTAAACGACCCGAGACAGATGACACTCCGGTGCGGCCGGGGGGTGTCGTCTAAGGTGGGACGCTGTTGCGCCTTTTACTTTGTAGAGCAGTGAAAGGCGCGGTAGCATCCTGCCCCAGGGTGACTACGATCATTCCGGGATGTGCCTCAGACATGAGGTACGGCAGGGAGGACTCCGGAAGTCGCCGATGCGTTCCTGGAGCTCCTCCCGACTACCGAGGTAGGCCGCCGTGGGGTTTAGTGGGTAGACCGGTTCTCCGTGAGTCACACACACGCCCTGCGTTTCCCCAACGGAGGGTATGGGGCGAAAAGCATTCCGCGCGTGAAAAAAAAAAGATGCAATGTAGATACTACTAATGTAGTAGTTGTAGATACTACTAATGGGCAGTTATTATTTATTAATATGATAAGACATAGGACATTTTTATTATATGGAATATTTATATCCCTGCTTCGCTCCTGTCGACCGCTGCCACACGCGACGTACGTACGGCTCGACGCGACGACCGACGGCCGCTATTACCCGTGCATTTTAAATCTCTAATATTTAATAAGATATTTATTTTAATGATATGCTTGTGGAAGGCAATTTTGATCTACATTAAATGCACAACGTATCAAACATATTTATTTGGATAAGGAATAATACTGTATTGTTCAAAATACCTTCGTAAATTACCCATATTATTTGTAATCTGTAAAAAATAAAAACGGTTTCTGGGTTATCCTAAGGAGATAGACATATACAATCCAGGCCTTTTTTGGAGATCTTTTTAAGATATTCAATCCCGTAGTTCATTATTTTATCTAGCACAAGCTTTAACCTTCAAATCGCGTTTTGCAATGTAAGCGCATAAAAACATGTTTATTACATCTTTATAAAACAAATCTATGAAATTCTCCCATTTCCTCTACTTATAATATGCATATATTATACATTATAAACCCGCCTCTTGAATTACTCTGTTTATTGGTGAAAACCGCATTAAAATCCGTTGCGTAATTCGAAAGATCTAGAAGCCAAAAGAACGAATTAAGCCGTTTCGACCACAGAGCGTGCTAAAGATACATATATACTTACAAACACGCAAAAAACAAATGACCCTCCTTCTAGCGCAGTCGTATAAAAAACTCAAATAAAAAAAAAAAAAAACAAATCCGTGTGGTGACGGATTAAAAATACAGACTGTCACCACCCCTATTTATTCCGTGGGTGTCGTAAGAGGCTACTAATGGAGCAAACTACGCAGGACAAAACCACAGCAGAGAGAAGGAAAACTTGACACAAACCCTATACCAACCCGTCTGGTAAGCCAAAACCTCCTTTCTAAGGAGAGGCCTATGTGTAACAGTGGACTATTAAAGGCTGTTGATGATGATGATGGTGGTGGTACAGAGGTACAAAGGAAGGTCAGGAACCAAAATATTTGACACATTCAAATACACTTATACATATTTTGTCCTGACAATCGAAAAACAGGTTGGGAGATGAAATTCTTAACTAACTGTTACTCTCGAAAAAGCAGGATTTAGACGGATCCACAAAACATTTCCACGCTTCTGTGATTTACGTTGTGCCACAGGACTCAACGGTGTGGTCACTAACTGACCACGCGGCCTCAATCTATGGGAATTTCGGAGGCTTCTTCGATAATAATAAAATCTTCACACATCTCACACACGGCACACGGCAGTCTGATCCCAAAGTAGGCAGAGCCTGTGCTATGGTAACCAGACTGCCTGTACATACCTATATATTTTTAAATACATATATATTTTAGATAAATTACACCTAACCCAGAATAAATTATCGTACTCATCACACAATTATTCGTCCTGGATGGGAATCAAACCACCTACCACTGGCTTAGCAGTCAACGAGAATACATTTTATGACGTTTGTGAGATCGAGAAAAGATCGCAAATTCATCAAATATTTATTACGAGAACTAACCTTTTTTTTTTTTTTTTTTTCCGTGCGGAAATCCCCTCGGATACCACCTATCGGTGGCATGTCGGACTCGAACCGACTAAAACCGCACGCCGTCGCCGGGTACTAATAGCCGGGGAACCAGGTATACCCTAGAAAGGAAGTCCCTGGTGCCCCGACATACCTCGGGTCATCTACAGACGAGTAGACGACCCCCCCCCCCCCCCCGTGTGGGAACCCCATCCATCCATCCATCCATCTAACCCCCTACCACTGGCTTAGAGTCAACGAGAATACATGTTATGACGTTTGTGAGATCGAGAAAAGATCGCAAATTCATCAAATATTTATTACGAGAACTAACCTCAGTTTAGTTCAGTGTACGATGTGTCACTGTCATAATAACAAATCAGTAATGTTACTTTGTTGGTTCATTTTATCAGAACTGGATGTCACTTGACACAGTACCTCCATATCCTTAAGTCTTGTCTTTATGAAATGTAATTAAGTATAAACAACATTGGTAACAACAACGCCTGATAACGACAGGTCGCTTCACCCCCAGATAAAGGGCCAGTGTCGGATCCTAAATCAGTCCAGTATCCCCGGAATCTAAAGTCAGTATAATCAAAAATATATTTGATTTTCTTTTTACTTTCAAAGACAACTCCCGCACTTTGAATATACCCTGTGTCACCAGGGACTTTACACACATACATGAAACGAACACAAAGAACACCCAGACTCAGAACAACAATTTGTGGATCACACAAAGTGTTGTTCCATGTGGGTATCGATCCCAGAGCACACAGAGCAGAAGAAAAAAATGACCGCTTAAACCACAACGCCACCGCCACGACGAATATACTAAATATCAAATACAAATTATAAAATACATACGAATGTATTTAAAATACAAATTGTAAAATAATTAAAAAATGAACCCGGCCTTACAGTTTTTGTATATGTAACTTATTGTATTTAAATTAATAGACACCTACGAGTATTGTTGCAGTGTGTCTGTGTATGTAACCAGTAATTTTAACCATAGCAGATAAAAAAAAAACAAGAGATGATCTCGAATCAATTTTATGTCGATATTATTTAAAAACAATCACTGCAGTCCTAGCTTATTTTTCGACATTTAACTATCGCATAACACGAAATAAAACAAACAAACCCTATACCAAACCGTCTGGCCAGAGTGGTATAGTAGGCCAAAACCTTATATCTAAGGAGAGGCCTATGTCCAGCAGTGGACTATTAAAGGCTGTTGATGTGATAACACGAAATACCATTTTTTCACGCATCGCACTTCCGGCAAAATTATACACGTAAATACAAAAAAGTTTACAATATTAATTATTTGCCGTAGGCTGGCAATTCCAGAAAAGCTGTATGCGCATTAAACACCTGCGCCCTTTTTTCTTGAAAAAAAAAACCCACACCGTGTTTAATATTTTTTGATGTCCTTCGTGTGTCCCACGAAAAGGTACGGTGTAAGAAGATTTCTCAAATAGATCATCCAATTATCTTCTCTTCCAGATACACCCGCAACCTGGTGGACGCTGGAAATGGGGCATTCAACATCATGATATTATGCTGGGGACCTGGCCACGTATCTTCCATCCACGACCACGCTGACTCACACTGTTTCATGAAGCTCCTCAGTGGGAACCTCGAAGAAGTCATGTAAGTATTCATTGAACATAATATTATAAAGCCTGGAGAGAGTTTCTGAAAATATTCATCTCCTTAAAACTGCCACAGAGAAAAGAAGACAGTTTTTGAGAAGTCTTTTGAAGAAGATTTGGTTTTTGAAAACACTAGCTCTTTATCCCTTCATTCATCTAAAAGTAGGGAAATCTATATCCTATTTCAGCCTGTTTTAGTCTCATCGTCATCATTGACCTTCCATTCACTAAGTTTCATTTGGGTTCGGCGCCATATGTTAACTTCTTCTTTAAAAAGAAAAAAAACTACGGGAATTAACGCCATACGAACATAGGTGACAATAGTTACGGGTAGTTGGTGCCCTAAAAAGGCCGACAAGTCTTTCTACAGAACTCCGATCGCCCAGTACTTGGGTTGTGGAGGTCTGTTGGCAGTCGCTCCTCGTAATATATCAGAGTTCAGCCGTATCGTAGTAGACTTGAAGCCGACTCCAACCTAGTTTGGGAAAAAGGCTTCGAAGAAGAAGAAGAAAGAAGACGGAAATTAACGGGATCGATTGTATACCTTTGAATTGCCTTTTTGACCAAATTGCAAGCTTTTTAAAAGGTGAATTGCAGCTAAAAATACTTAACTCCTAAACGCTTAACATAATATGTATTACACATTGATTTAGCTCTGTTATTTGAGTGTAAGTGAATCTGACTGATGAAGCAAAGGCCATGGGTTTGATTCCGACCCAATACTAATATTTGTTTGAATCACACGACCATTTGCTCTGTTTCTGCATGTAATTTATCTGTAATGTTTATATTTTTAGTGATATTATTACTATTTACGTTACTTACGTATGTTATAACACGTTGTTTTCGTATAAATCTAGCAACAATATCAATAACTGTTTATTTACAGAAAAAAAAACTGAATTAAGATAAATACGTAGTGTTACTAACTCAAAAAGGAGTTTATTAATTTGATTATTAAGTACTCGAGTAAACTATTAGTGGGTCATTGAAACCTGCACTGACACACAAATATATGTATAATATATGTTTATAGTATCTGATGTATTATCTGTCTGAATTATTATTTTAATAAAGTAAAGGGCTGTCAAGTCAAATCAGTATCCTTTTTTAAACGTCAAAACGCTAGACGCGGTACTTCTTCGCGGTATTTCGTGATGTCATACCAAGCTATTGTCAAATCATTTTTATGTAATGTTGATATCAATATTTCAAATCAATAAAAAGATTATACTAATAATGGAGGACAATTCAGGTTCTACTTTAAGATGTTACATTTAATGATGAAGGTGAAATATTTTATTTTTAACCTAGGAATTTACCCTATTGTCAGAATAACAACAGTGACATTAATGAGCTGAGCTCCCGTTTTGAGGTACAAGGCCTTTAGAGTACATAGTTAATTTGATTAAACATCGTAGTGTCTTTATATGTACTCGTATGTAAATATATTTTTCTTTTTCATTGCCTAAATGTTCGGCCTTTGAAGTAATTAAGATTTAGCATAATAATATAAGGAATCTGAATTCTGATGTATTTATTTTAGCAAGCGCCTGCGAAAATTCTCTCTGTACATTTAGAAAATCAGATTTTCTATGTTTTATAGTCAGTCAATACTTAGTAGATATTTATGGAATTTTACAAAAAACCGACGAAATTAAATAATAACGGTAACCTCATACACGGCACTCTGATCTCAAACTAGACAAAGCCTAGTTGTAGTTTTATTTATTTATTTATTTACACCTTTCTACAAAATTATTGCATGAAACGGTGTTAATGCCATAAGTATTTTATACTGACAGGCGTAAATTTCAAACTAAATGAGATGAATAATTAGTTAGACTACATTATGCCAGACACATACACAGACCATATTAGGTATAAATATAATCAAACATATACAATTATACATGTATGTATGTGCCCTTTTGACGTTGTATGCTTGCTGCTCTTTTGACAATTTGCTATCGTTTGTCATTTTGCTCTTTTAACCTTATGGTCTAAAACTGATTAATTCTACTCTCAATTTCCCGATTTAATCCCTAGTGCCCGGTTGATGGCAACACGCTTGCCCCCATACCATAAAATCACTAGCTGACCCGCGCAACTTCGTCTGCGTCTCTCAATAGTAATAAATTTTCTCCGTTTGTGAAACATTCTTCATTGGTGCTCCGCTCCTATTGGTCTTAGCGTGATGATATATAGCCTATAGCCTTCCTCGATAAATAGGCTATCTAACACTGAACGAATTTTTCAAATCGGACCAGTAGTTCCTGAGATTAGCGCGTTCAAACAAACAAACAAACAAACTCTTCAGCTTTATAATATTAGTATAAATTTGCAAAATCTCCGAATTTAATATGCCTCCTCTACCATTGGACGATTTAGACATGTGTGTATGTCATCACCCTCCGGGCCTTTTCGGAAACTAGGTTGTGGTTGGCTTTTACCCTAGTACAATTTGGCTGAACTTCAATTTTTTACGTTCAGCGACTGCCAACAGACCTCCCCAACATAAGTACTAGGCGATATCGGAGTTCTGTAGATAGAGTGTTGTGGAATGTTTTATTATATGTTTATATTGTTTGTACAATAATGTTTTGTCAACAAAAGATACCTACTTGAAAATGAATAATGTTACAATAAGTTAGTTCATTTTAGGGTCAGTTTAAGGTCTCATTGTCAGATAGTTATGTTGTTAAGTTAATACGTTATTATCTCAAGATACGTATTGACGTAGTCGGTGAATGCAGGCCGATTCTAACCCGTTATATTGAAAGTCTTTCACAGAGACCTCTGTCCGGTAAATTGTTGATAACATTTATTTTGTAGAGCACACTTTATGTTACGTGTAGGGATCGAACTATCGTGACTCAGCGTAGCGAAGAAGCGTTGAAAACTTTAGCCATTTCTTTTAAAGATGGTCTTGAGAAAACAAATCGCTTTATTTTTAACCAACTTCGAAAAGGAGCTTCTTCGAGCTCCTGAATTCGGGTGTATTATTTTTTAAGTATTATTACGAGGGGGGTACATAATAAATGAACTCGTACTAACCAGAATCTTAATAGTTGTACTTTAGTCGATACTAGATGGCGCTGTCCTCCACATTTTATACAATCGAACCATTTCATCCTATGGCGTAACAGTATGTTTGTTATCTCCGAAATCCGTTGCTCATGAAAAGATTTGAAAAATTATTTTTTCATTTCATTTTAATCTTTTGTCCATCTAATTTTGTGGAAAATTTTACCGCTAAGGAAGAAAATTGAGGAATAAAAAATACTGTGTATTACAATTTAACACCTTGTAGGCACATTGAAGTCGGTGATTTTTATTAAAATATAAATACCTATAGCATTAAGTCCGCCATATGCAATGTATTTGCAGAAAATATTAATCAATAAATAATGTTAATAAAAAAAAAATCGAACATCTGACACACAACGCCATCTAGTTTGACCTTAATAGCTTGTACTATGAAAGGCAGATTGACACAAATACACTTATACAATTTTTTTTGTTAACTTTACTTTGTATTTTTTCAGATACGATTGGCCTGATAACGTGCAACCAGAAGTTTATAAGGTATTAGAAAACAACAACAAAGACAGAAGGAAATACAGTTCAGAAAGTGAAGATGAAACCACTGACAAATTATCTAAACTAAACGTCAAATGTGACAGTGACAGCTGTCATAACGGTGATCGCAAAAATGGGAGATGTCAAAATGGCAGCTGTCATAATGGCAATGGGAAATGTCACAATGATGGCTATCAGAATGATGACGTAGAGAATGGAGATGGGTATCAGACTGATGATGAGGATTACGATGTTCGTGATATGAAGGTCCGAAAAAAAACAAGAATGGAAGTAAATGATGTTTGTTATATTAATGGTGAGTATCCTTATTTTTATAAACAATTAATTAATCTACATTTCCTACATACCAGGCTCTTGTATTGTGTTGTGAATTCTTATAACTAGTGTTACAACTCATATCTTAATTCTGAAATAAGTAAATAAATAAAAATTTAAGGTAAACAAACGACGGGCAAACGAGCAGACGGGTCACTTGATGGTAAAAGTCAGAAATGCTTTGCTTTCCGGCTCAAAATTCCAATGATTTCGACTCAGAATCATGGTTTGAATACACTATTTCGGTATTCGTTACGACGTCCCTTACACCTTTTATTTTATGTCCCCGCCCCTCTCCCAGATACAGGGGGAGGAGAGGTTTTGTCTCTGTCCTTGTCTGGGTGTAATTTATCTTTAATATGTAGGAATTCAGAAAAAATTGAGTAGTCTGGTTAATCTATATTAACCAGGCTACTCAATTCACAGGCTCTGCCTAGTTTGAGATCAGACGGCTGTGTTAGTTTTTTTTTTCATCATTTAATAGTTCACTACTGGACATAGGCATCTCCTTAGAAAGGAATTTTTGGGCTACTATACCACGCTGGCCAGACGAGTTGGTATAGGGTTTGTTTCAAATTTTCCTTCTCTTTGCAGTGTTGTTGTCCTGTGTAGTTTGCTCCCTTAGGCGGCTCTTACGACAGCCACGGGATGAATAGGGGTGTTGTACACTCTGTATTCTAAACACGGACATATTTTTTATTATCTATCTACAATATTTGTCGTTTCAGATGCTATTGGTCTCCATCGGGTAGAAAACCCTTCTCACGTCGATGGCGCCGTTTCCTTGCACCTCTACTGCCCACCTTTCGATAGGTGTCGTGTGTTCGATGCCCGCACAGGCAAGCCTGCTGAAGTTAAAGTCACCTTCTGGTCCATGTATGGGAAGAAGATCAAGAGAGTACGTTTTTTTTTTTTTTCATTTTATTTCTTTCAAAAGCCACAGTTGACTTTGATATCTGTGCTTAATCCTATTTCATCAACAGCGTCATTTCATTTATTTAATCGAAAGACAGTCTGAATTAGATCTGTATGGAGTAATAATAATAAATTATTGTTTAAAAAACTAGAAAAACACGCTTTTGAAAAAGATAAATCATTTTATCGTTAAAATGCGTGGGATTTGTTTGACAGATATTGATAAAAGTTTTTTAAATATATTTTTTTTTCTTTCTAGTTATTTATTAATGATGATTATTTTTTCGTTACGACTAATTAAAAAAGTAACTAGTAAATAAGTTACTTATGCTTCAGTACATGCCTTAGTACGTGGGTAAAGACACTTGTATTGTCATCGGTCATTGATGCTTGCAGAGTTTGAATTCAAACCGACGTTTTAGAGTGGGTGAAAATCATGTTCAAAGATTTCGTTACATAGATACATACATACCAAACTAAGAAAAGCGTGTTAAGAAAGGAAGGCATGATATGTAAAAAGAGAGTCATGCTTTGACATGGACTGGCTTGACCGGAGTAATATCACAACCTCGCAAAAAACCGGTGTCTTCACCTCCGCCACCCGTGACTCTTGTCTTCTCTTGAATGGAAATTATTGCTACTTTAAAATTATATTAATTAGATGAAATGATTGGTTTTGGTCACTGTGATTTCATCTGCGAAAGATCACTACTTAGATTTGGTCATATCAATCAAACCGACCTTTTCTTTTTAAGCTATTGCATAGCTTCTATCGCGGGCCTTGAGCGTGGAGACGGAATCCAGAAATTCCGTAACGAAAATAACCTAACACCCGCCACTCCGACCGGCACAGCGGTGATACTTTTTAGTTTTGCCATCTATCGATGAATAGCAGAACTTTTAATGACTTTTTTGAAATATCACGCTTGTCTCTTTAGTTCAGCAACTCGCCTCTAGGTGGCATTGGTTGTGACGCGGTATTTTCCAGATATTTAGAAGATATCAAGTCTCAAACTTATGTTTCTTATTTCAGTTACCATAAACCTATAGTTTAAATGATAAATATTCCTGAATAACCTACATGTATTGTAAGATAATAAAAATATTTTGAAAAATATTAACTTCTCATTTATTTAATAAAAGAAAAAAAATGTTTTCTTATCGGTCACCACGCTCAAAAAGTGTAACTTGAATTAATATAAAAAAGAAAAAACAAAGGAAAAAAAATACTGCATAATTTATTTATGCAGTATTTTTTTTCCTTTGTTTTTATTTTTTGTATAAATAAATAATTATAATTGCATAAGTTGATAAAAAATGCTATGCAATAGCTTTACCGCGGCAGTCCCCGAGTGCCACACGTCTTTTTTTTTAGATTTAGACCTTTCGCGTGTCTTCACCTTTCATACGTAATAATAATAATTAGTAGTAGTAATGTTGTAGATGAGTCATAGGTGTGAAGATATGATTTTAATATAACATATGACATATTACAGAATCGCATATGAATAATCACAGGTGCAGGTGTCTCTGGGCGGCGGTGGTCACTTACCACCAGCTGCTGTCTGTCATTCAGTCAGTCAGTCTGCTCATTTCCCCCCTATTCCATAAAAGAAAGCAGGTCCTTGTAACAGGTTGCCTGTAACACGAACTAGCTGTTGAGCCCTCAGACCTCAATTTTGAATTTGTTATTAGTTCTAAACCTATTATTCTATTATTTTCAGGTAATGGAAGCGAATACTGTACCTGATGCCGACAAGGAGTAAAACGCAAAACCAGTAATGGGTAAAATACAATGTTGTACACTCTGAGGTAGTGTAAGTTTATTTCACATCTACATGATTTCGTTCGGCGCTGCGATTGGTCTGCACTGAAATCTGCACCAATCGCAACACCGAACGCGCTCACTGTCAAGAACCAGTTGGTGTGAAATAAACTTGCACTACGCCCATTGGTGCTATTGTGTACACACAATGAATTTTGAAGTGTATATAGAATTCGAACTGAAAACAAATGTTTAAAAAACATTCAATCGTGTACTAGACTTATATAATATAAATGTACTTCTATTTATCGTTTATACTAGTGACGGCAATTACTGCTACTTTAAAATCATAATCATATGATGAAATTATTCACCTGTGATAAATCACTACTGTCATTTGGTCATAGACAAAGGTGCCATCAAAAGAGCTTGTCTTTGCTTTGCTTGATTTATTATAGGTGATTGTGATTTTATTTCATCCCTAATTTATACATATTGTTAATTAGGTTTATATTTTTTGTTAAAAATGTTATGTATGAAAATAATGTACCTATGTGGGTAATAAATACGAGCATAAGATTGAAGATTTCAAACTTTGTTTTTTTTAAGCCACTTCAAGAAAATAAGGCGATTCTCAAATGGTGTGTACATTTACCACTGAACTCCGTTATTCTAATTGTTTTTAAAAGACGTCCCTTAAGTGTGGAAGAAATTAAGAAGACGGTTTATTGCACTTCATCATGATGAATTGATGGTTTGATATGATTTTGTTGACACTGTGTGTATCTGTAACATATGATCATACCCCAGACTATCCGACCCAAATTCATTTCGAGTTTTTTATCGGCTAAATCGTACAGGCGGCGGTGCAGTTCATTCTTTTAAATTGTACTTTCAGTCAAAGCTCTCTTGGTACTGGCACCCAGTTTCTAATAATCTACATCATCATCGACAACAGTTTTTGACAGTTCACTGCTGGACATAGGCCTCTCTTTAGAAAGGACGTTTTAGCCTACTTTACCACGCTGGCCAGACGGGGTGGTAGAGATTTTGTGTCAAGTTTTCCTCCTCTTTGCAGTCCTGCGTAGTTTGCTCAGTTGAAGTCGGCTCTTACGACACTCACGAGATGAATAATATATATAAATATTCATATCGCAGGGATATGGCAGGCATTTTAGTTACTTTTCAAAAAAATATTCCGAGTTAAAGGTCTTTTTGTAATATTACCCAGATTCTGATCATCTATATCACAAAAACAAAGACATATTTACAAAATTACATAAAACATTATTGTGGTTTTCGTAACAGATAACACTGCAAAAAGTTTTGACTGATATATTTTGATGCAGGCATTCTGCCTGATGCCAACTCTCCTCCTTTTACGATATAACGGGGCAAACGAGCAGACCAGACACCTAAAGGTAAGCAACTACCGCCGCCCATGGACACCTGCAACTCACAAGTGCGTTGCTGCCCTTGGAGTCCGGTAATCTCACTCAGTCAGTGAAAGGCAACGAAAGAATTGCTTAACACCGGTTTTCTGTGAGGCCGTGGTATCACTCCGGTCGAGCCGGCCCATTCGTGCCGAAGCATGGCTTTCCCACGGTAAAACGTTAAAAACGTTAAGCGTTTTTAACCAAGACAAAGAACGACAGTGGATCTCGCAATGGTATAAATAAGTGTCCTGTTTAATCATAACATGAAAAGTCACAAAACCCATTTATAGAAGTCCTATGGGAAACTATGGGAAATGTAAGATTGACATATAATGTGAGAAATGTTGAGGTAAGACCGTTGAAAGAAGATGTAGTGACAAGAATTAAGAAAGGGATGCTGTGATGGTTTAGACCTGTTTAACGGCTGAGTCATTATAGTTGTGGTCGTATCCTCACAGCTGTAACTCCTGTTCACTAGGATCAACAGCAGTGTTACATGAACACATTGAGTAATGACTCTTTGAGTACAGTAATATTATTAGAGAATTCTGGCTGTACTTGCAATTTAAGATTTAACTTTTAAACTTAACACAGGATTCAGTACTTCAGCATGGATAAATTAGTACACAAAATAATCTTTATCAATGTAATGTGATTTTTTTTGTAATTTAAAATAAAAATAATCAAGGAGACACTGTGATTTGGATATCAAAAATCATTAGGATTCCGTCTTATGGCGCGCTAACCGTAGGCCCAGACCTCTGATCTTTTGGACGACACAAGCTACCCCTAACTCGGTCAGCTCCAAGTGATCCCTGCGTAACAAACGAAACCGGTCCGTTTCCACAAAAAAGGTCCTAGGACCTAAGCCTGGGAAACCCTATTTGTAACCTCCCTTCAACATTCTTCGTATTTCACTCCGGCCCACCGCCTCCGACTGCATATGAAATACTGTTCTCATCGGTATGCTGGGCACCCTAGTACCAGCTTCAGCGACTCACATCGTCGATAGCCAAAAGATCTCCGATCGGCTCGATTCCTTGGCGTTACGTAGAGATGTGGCCTCACTCTGCATTCTCTATCGTATATTTTTTGAGAGTGCTCCAAGAAATTGTTTTGACTACCGTGTGGTGACGGATTAAGAATACAGAGTGTCACCACCCCTATTCATCCCGTGGGTGTCGTAAGAGCCGACTAAGGGAAAAAACTACCCAGGACAACAGCACTGCAGAGAGAAGGAAAACTTGACACAAACCCTATACCAACCCGTCTGGCCAGCGTGGTATAGTAGGCCAAAACCTCCTTTCTAAGGAGAGGCTTATGTCCAGCAGTGGACTATTAAAGGCTGTTGATGATTGGCGGCGATAGTCACTTACCATCAGGTGATCTGTCTGCTCGTTTGCCCCTCTTCCATAAAAAAGCCGAAGAAATTACTTTAGTAAGAAATTAAATGGCGAAAGCTACAAACTGAAACTTTTTAAATCTATATGCTTTCCAATGTTCTGATAACCCCCTCTTTTTACTATCATGAGTAGGTATGTCGTGTCAAAGCCTGTTTGGTAAAATAGAGGTATTGGGCACCTCATATGTCTTCTCAATAAAAGAAAAGGGGCCTCACTGATGCGACTTCCACCAAGTCCATATTAGTCCACGCTATGCCTCTGGATGAAAAACTTACATTTTATTTTGCAAATGCGTTAAATAAAGTCTCTTTTTTTTCTTTGTTTCTTTTTTTTTAAAGACAACTTCCACACTAGGAATATGTATATCCTGTGCCTCGGGGGACTTTACAAACATACATGAAACAGACACAAAGAACACCCAGACTCAGAACAACAATTTGTGGATCGCACAAAGTATCGTCCCATGTGGGGATCGAACCCACAACACTTAGCGTAGTAGTAAGCGGCGTGGCGACCGCTTAAACCACTATGCCATCCGCGCAGTCATAGTGGATCACGATGTTCTGTCTATTAAATTTGACTCACTTAACATATTTCGTAACCTGATTACCTGGTTCTCCATCTCCGTTTCCTGTGCTCCAAAAAATCTTCTTCTTTGCTCACCTCACACTTCCAGCTTCATCAATCGTTCCTTTTATGGCCAGCCAGTTCGTCTCTGGAATGAACTCCCAGTTGAGTTGGTAGAAAGGTCACAACGCTAGTACATACGTAGTAGTGTGTGTTCTGATATATATATATATTTATGTATGTGTATACTTAGGACCTCTATGTATATATATAGTAATAAATATAGTATTTCATATATGTGTATTATAGCTAAGTGAAATTTATCTTAAATTTATAAATTTAATATAAGTAATTATAGTCAAATTTCCTCTTTTCTCTTTCACCTACCGCATTATTTTTCTACATCACCCGAAGGTCGACTGGCAGAGAATGCCCTGGGTATTAAGTCCGCTTGTGTACAACTTGTACATTAAGTTATACAAATAAATATTTCTAAAAGTAATTGGTTAGATTTGTAATTATTTATGTTACCGCCGACTACTTATTTTTCTCAACGATTTTCTATCTTCTTTGGATTAAAACATCACATGGTGAAGCGTTCTTTCTACTTTACTATTTGAAAATTTATCAACTCTGACTTAAGCCTGTCTGCAACCACTCATATGTCAAGGATTTGGGATGAATATTACCTGATGAGCATCATCATCATCCTCCGAGTCTTTTCCCAAACTAAGTTGGAGATGGTCTTCAGTCTGTTACGACACGGCTGAACTTCGACCTTTTACGTGTTTACAACCCAGGCACTAAGTGTTATCGAAGTTTACATAGACAGATATTTGACACAAACCCTATACCAACCCGTCTGCCCAGCGTGGTTTAGTAGGTCAAAAACTCCTTTCTAAGGAGATTCCTATGTCCAGCAGTGGACTAGTAAAGGCTGTTGATGACATAGACTTGTCGGACATATTTTATGCCACAGACAGCTTAACGTGCTCTATGAGGCACGGAAGGGTCTCAAAGTGTTAAGAATGGTCCAACATCCATAGACTCACCTGGCTAGAGTTGCTTAACTTTGTAATGTGCTAGCCTACTCGGTGAATATTGGACTGCACGGTTGGCGTAGTGGTTTATGAGGTCGCCACGCCGCTTACTACTATGCTGAGTGTTGTGGGTCCGATCCCTACATGGGACGACACTTTGTGTGATCCACGAATTGTTGTTCTGAGTCTGGGTGTTCTTTGTGGCCGTTTCATATATGTTTGTAAAGTCTCCCGCGACACAGGATATATTCCTAATGCGGGCGTTGTCTTTTAAAAAACAAAAGAAAAAGTTAACAATAAGCCACGAGAGCCCTATTGTTAATTGCAGTATTGCATTGCATGATCATATTAATATGTTCTGTGTCTGTGTGTAGTTGATTTATGTATTTATTTATTTATAATGTGTCTGTATTTAGAAATATGAAAGTATGTTTATCAGCAGTCTGGTTATCATAACTTATTTTTCTTTAAAAGGTTACAAGTAAGAAATATTTTAATGCTTGATATTGTATTTATTGAAATTTTTCAATAATTTCTATTTATATTGGTAACAATTCAAAACTGACCTCACAGAAGGTGAACTAATATTTTTAAAACGGCATATTATGTTAAATATAAATAAAATATTCTCGTAAATAAATAAATAAAAAACGAATACAGCATTTTCTTAAAATTAAACTATAATATATTTGTCATTTGTATAAAATAAATAAATTCAACAATTTTAATTTTCATTAATCAATTTTAACAACTGTTTGGCTTGATTGTCGAGTTTATGCCATGGGATGTACATCTCCAGTCCAGCGTGGTGTGGAGTGATGCGGACTCTCAAGCTGTCGCAGTCAACATTGCAAGCAAAATCACAACTGTTGATGCTGGGGTTGAAGTATAGACCGTTCGAGCAGGTAACTAATCTAGCCTTGTTGTCATAACAAACCCAGAATTTGTCACAGTCCTCATGTGCCCAAGGAAGGACGTGGCATTCTTCTTCACACTTCCTATCTTGTTCAGTTGTGTCGGTGCAATCATCATCATTATCTGGGTCATTCAAAGTCCCATTGCTTGGAGTGGTCGGTGCGATCGGAGCTTGAGTCGTAGTTGATGGGAGGGTGGTGTTATTAATACTCGTATCATTACTGCAACCGGCTACTTCTGGGTAGTCGCAAACCTGTAATAAATAAAATAGTTTCACTATTGTGTCTTTCTTTATAGCACCAGTTATCTACTAGTGAGAATATCTTAGTAAACAGTTTTTTTGGTTTTATAGACAATGCATTCATTATATTGAGTGCCTCAGTGGTGCAATGGTAGTGTATCCGACTGCTGTTTCGGGTTTAATTCCCGGGTTGAACCAAATGTTTGTATGATTTGCAAATAATTGTCTCGGAGTTTGGGTGTTTTCTATGTATAATATGTATGTATTTACAGAAAAAAGTATATAGGTATTGTATCAGTCAATCTAGCTTTCATAGTACAAGCTCTGCTTAGTTTGGAACTAGATGGCGTTGTGTGTCAGATTTCAAAAAATATTAATATTATTATTGTGATTTATTTGTATAGGATAATAAATATTTACCTGTACAATAGGATTAAAATGTAATCCAGGGGGACAATCCCTTTCTACCAGGTTGCCATAGACGCAGTAGTAGAATTTACTGCAATCTTCATGGGGCACTAGCCAGTGAATGCTATGGTTTGTAGGACATCCATTTGGGAAGAACAGGGGAGGTGCAATTGTAGTGCCGTTTGTGACCGGTGCAGGAGAAGTGACTGGGGCTGGTGCTGGGGTAGTGGCATTAGTGACCGGCCATGGTGCAGGGGTAGTAGCATTTGTGACCGGAGCTGGTGCAGGAGTAGTTACTGGGGCTGGTGCAGAGGTAGTGGCGTTTGTGACCGGAGCTGGTGCAGGAGTAGTTACTGGGGCTGGTGCAGAGGTAGTGGGGCTTGTAACTGGAGTTGGTACAGGGGTTGTGGGGCTTGTAACTGGAGCTGGTGGCAAGGTTGGTGGGGCGGCGGTACTGGTGCATTGAACATTGCCAGCGCAAGGACCGTTAGCACAACCGGCTGTGGCTGGATTGTCGCAGACCTGTAATAATAAAAAAAAAAAAAGTTTTGAGCAGATTAAAATGGTATTACTTTGCTGCCTTGACCTGAAGTATACAAACACCAAGAAATGACTATACATTTCCCTTACTATTAGATAAAGCAGACGTATTAAATTGGTTAGTTCATCGTTTCACATCATCATCACATCAGATCAACAGCCTTTACTAGTTCACTGCTGGACATAGGTCTCTCCTTAGGCTGGCCAGACGGGTTGGTAGGGTTTGTTTCAAGTTTTCCTTCTCTCTGCAGTGCTGTTGTCCTGCGTAGTTAGTTCCCTTACTCGCCTCTTACGACACCCACGGGATGAATAAGGGATAAGGGAACACTGTATTCTTAATCCGTCACCACACGGACATCAATCATCGATTAAAGCCAAACAAATCTATCTTGTTTCTGCCTGTCACAGCTTTATTCATCATCTCCACTTCATCATCATCGTTCACTACTGGACATAGGCTTCTCGCCGCAAAGTTTGTTCTCCGAGGCACGGAGGTCTTATTGTGTCAAGAATAGTCACCCATCCATAGACTGACCAGGCTACGATTGCTTAACTTTGCAATGTGTTAACCTACTCGGTTACCATTTAGCCGTTTACCCCCCCCCCCCCCCCTTACCATATAAAGATAAATAAATATTTACCTGTGTAGTAGGGTTGAAGTGTAGTCCACCGGGGCATTGCATCACTACCAGGTTACCATGGTCACAAACGTAGAACAAGTTGCAATCTTGATGGGGCACATGCCAGGGGATATTTGTATCTACAGGACAACCATTTGGACCAAGTATGGGACGAGCAGTGGTCGGTGGGGCGGGAGTTGGCGCAGGGGTAGTAACCACGAAGTCACCACCAGGAAGTTGGCAGTTGACGTTGAAGATGTGATCGCAGCTCTGGTGGAGATAAATAAATCATCAATATAGATAGAAAAAAATATATATATAAAGAAACTAATGATAAAACTATGATAATAACTGAGAACCTGTACTATAGTAACCAGACTGCTGATCACCACACTTATATATTTCTAAATACACACAAACAAATATTGTTTAACAAAAGTGACTGATGAAATTTGAAAAGGTTTTCTTCATTCGAATAAATATTATTAATTATTTGTTCTGGATGAGAATCGAACCCACGACTCAGCAGTCAGGTAACTAGACCAACAGAATCAATACTTTTAAGAATACCAATTAATGAAGTTAAAATACCTACAATATCTTCATATGAATGAATATTTATAAAGTTTTACCCAAAGACATTAAAAATAATCCTGTTTTTTTTTTCATAAAACTAGCTGCTTCTCAACTAACTTATAATTTTCGGATTTCATAGAGAACTAATCCGATCAACGTCAGGAAATCAAAGTTATGACATTTTCAGACATAGTAAATTCCTGTATGTATATAAGATTTCAGCAGTTTCTCCATTCCTATTTTGTTTAAAGGTCATAAGTATTATTCTTAGGGAAGTGTTCATTAAATCCTTATCTTTGTTTAAATCATGATCAAAATCTTTTATCTTAATATCTAATCTTTAATATATAACTATTTGTCGTTATTTACCTATTGTTCGATTGTACAAATCTTTGAATAAAAGGAGCTGATAGGTAATGATAAATTACTAAGATAGCTATATCGATTTCAAGTTCAAAGATACATTAACAACATTTAAAGATTATGATAAGGAATTCGATATAAATATTAAGTTGATGGAAACGGTCGATAGAAACGGAAAGTTCGGTGGCATTTATTTCATATTTTTGTTTAACTAAATCACATCATCACATCATCACATCAACAGCCTTGAATAGTCCACTGCTGGACATAGGCCTCTCCTTAGAAAGGAGGTTTTGGCCTACTATACCACGCTGGCCAGACGGGTTGGTATAGGGTTTGTGTCAAGTTTTCCTTCTTTTTGCAGTGATGGTGTCCTGCGTTGTTTTGCACCCTTAGTCGGCTCTTACGACACCCACGGGATGAATTGGGGTAGTGACATTCCGTATTCTTAATCCGTCACTACACGGACAACGTTTAACTAAATAGAGGTATAAAAAATATAAAATACAGCAAATGAATCTATAATGTTAGAGAATCCGCCTTCAACGAATCGAACGATTTATTAAAAGCTGGCTGAGAAATCAGAATTGGAAGGGAATTACCGCATGGCATAAATTTGCTCTGCTGTTCGTTTTTTTTTTGTAAATATTTATTCACAAGTACGTTTGTCATGTAGAGAAAAGAGAGAAGAAAGAAAGAAAGAGTGTGAGAAAAGAATGTCAAGGTAATTAATATCTTTGTAGTAACCATTAAAACAGTAGACTCAGTACATTTTAGTATAAAATAATAATGACGTGACGACGTGACGTGACGTCACGTCATGCATGACTTGAATTAGATAAGAATAAAATATATTCTATGTTAATTAATTGGCGAAATATTTTATTATGAGGATACACATCTACTCCATTACTACAATCTCTTTTTAAATCTGAATTTCGGTGACATATACGATTATTTATTACTTTAATTTATCGATGCCGGTTTTCACGTTTCTTTATCTAAAAATCTAAATGCAAATTATTTTACTTGCGTAATTTATATTATTTTCAGCTCACCTACAACAGGAGCTTTTCTCCTTTTTAAAGGTCCTACAGCTCATGGCCTCCCTGATCCTAGCTAGTGATAGTATGTCGGAATCGAACCAATTACTTTTCAACAGATTTTTTTCACATATATATGTATTTTGGGTCGTAAAACCATTTATAGATTAAAGATTTGTTTTCCTCATAATTCTTATCATTTCCTTTACCTTGTGACGTGTTTAAAATTTGATTAGAGTGTTAATTTATATTATACTATCATTTACGCATCAATTTGTCTTTGATAAGACTTAGCCTATGTTTTAGACAAAAGTCTCTATCGGTCGCAAATTCCACCTACACCTCTTAAAAAAATATCCATTGATATATCCTCACACTTCCGCTTTTTTAATGTTATATGTATTTTCGAATAAAGTACTTACATTGCGTACGTTTGCACCAAAACCGTTATAATTTATTTTATAAAAAAATAAAAAGTCCGCAAAATCTAAAATGTTAGGCACAAAAAAAATGTTACAAATGATCTACTAACCCGAGATACAGGATTAAAGTGAGTTCCAGCAGCACATACACTCTGCAATTTTTCACCGTTGACGCACTGGTAGAAAACGTTGCAGTATCTTTCATGTGGAAGGAACCAGACACGTTTATCAGCGGGGCAACCGTTTGGTAAGAACACAATTCTGTCGTCATCAATTACCGGAACATCTTCCTCAGAAGAGTCTTCGTCGAGACAAACGCGGTTGATACTGCCAGGATGGTCACAACCCTATATAAAAATATAATTATTAGACACGTCATATTATTCTTTTAAAGAGTCCTTCATCTATTTTTGCTCAGCCAATGAGCGAAGTAAATTTTTGAGACTTGTAATTTATAAAACACTTCTGGTTTTGTGAGTTCAAACTGTTTTTGATTCTGGTGTACAGAAGTTTGAATTCACAGCAGATTGAATGTTTCTAGTGGCACCTGAAATTTTTATGTGGTTTTTGCCATATTTGTCTTAGATATCAAGTGGTACTGTTAGAAACAGCGACACGTACACAAATTTATTTGTTGTTTAAATATATTTTTAAAAGCTGATCTACTTACCGGAATGCGGACATTGAAGACAGTACCACGGGGGCATCGCTGTTGAACCCTTTCACCAAAGACGCAACGATAGAAGATTCTGCAGGAAGTTTCGTGTTCAAAATATTCGTCGATGGTAAAGTCTACAGGGCAGCCATTATCGAACCTCTCACAATCAGTAGTACCTTGTGAGGGTGGTGAAGTGGGAGCCTGGGTTGGAGGTTGAGTGGGAGGTTGGGTTGGAGGTTGAGTGGGAGGTTGTGTTGGAGGTTGAGTGGGAGGTTGGGTTGGAGGTTGAGTGGGAGGTTGTGTTGGAGGTTGAGTGGGAGGTTGGGTTGGAGGTTGAGTGGGAGCTTCGGTTGGAGGTTGAGTGGGAGGTTGGGTTGGAGGTTGAGTGGGAGGTTGGGTTGGAGGTTGAGTGGGAGGTTGGGTTGGAGGTTGAGTGGGAGGTTGGGTGATAGGGGATTCAGTCGGTGGAGCGTCACTTGGTGGAAATCCTGGTAATGTGCAGTTAGCCAAAAACGGGAAGATGCACACCTATGAGAAAGATTAAAAAGCCATTAATAACATAATTATTTCAAGTTGCTTGCTTCAAAGTTTTTTTTGTACTTCGTTAATTTTTTTTTGCTATTACACTTCATTTTTTCCTAATCATAAGTACGTATCATCATCATCAACAGCCTTTAATAGTCCACTGCTGGACATAGGCCTCTCCTTAGAAAGGAGGTCTAAGTACGTACGTTGATCGCAATTATTTATTCCGAAAAGTCCCCATTTTAAATTACCTAACTGTTGGTAGTTAATATTCCAAAACGGCGGTAAGCTGTCCACTGCTAGACATAGTCCTCAAACAACCTATGATCTTTATAAGGTGTATTCACATCAACATCAACAGCCTATGACAATCCACTGCTGGACATAGGCCTCTCCTCTGAAAGGAGGTGTATTCAGTGGGACTTAAATGACAAATATTATTATGAGCACTTTTACTAACCCTTTAGTTTTAAATTATGTTGAAATCAATGGGACACTTTAAACTTTATCAATAATAACCATTTCTTCAAAAACATTTACCTGCATTTCGAACGAGAACTCGGTGCCAGCAGCGCATGATCTTGGTTCTATGAACCTCTCACCTCTTTCACAGTAATAGAATTTTGTACATAAATACTCATGAGGTAAAAGGAAGTGACCATCTGGTGGGCAATCAGGATGTGGTTTTGTCAAAGGCTCGCCTTGAGCCAGAGCAACAAAAGTTGCTAAGAATAAAAGGGATTCTGGAAATAAAAATGCTAATTATGAGACTGATTACAAAAAAATAGGTATCTGATTGAGGGATTTGTTGCAGAAGCAGTACTTTTCGATACGGAACGGATTGTGGAGAGGTTTCCGTCTCTGGAACCCTCATAAGTAGCTTAGTCTCTAGCAGAACTTAAAAAAAATCACTTTAAATAACTATTTTCTGACTTCTAAACTTTTTTTTTACTGAAACTTGAAAATGATTTATGATATAAGTACTAACATGATAAGATAAATGATAGCATCAATATTTGAAAACAACAAATACGCTCGTGATTAATATTTTTCAATAATTTTCAATTTATACCTATGTATAGTGAGATTAGCACATGAATTGATAAATTATTTATTTAATGCAATAGAGGCTATCATCATCATCAACAGCCTTAAATAGTCCAGAGGGTTTGGCTTAATATAGTCGGGTGGGTTTGTTTGTTTCAAGTTGCCCTTCTTTTTGCAGTGCCCTGCGTAGTTTGCTCCCTTAGTCGTCTCTACGACACCCATTGGATAAATAGGGGACGTAACCACACACACACCGTATTCTAAATCTGTCACCACACGCTAATATGTTTTATAATGCTATAACTTAAAAATGATCAAGTCATACAGGTGATCAATAATTCTCTTGATATTTAACTACGGGGTTTTTGAAAGTAAGGTTATTAAATCCGAACGTATCTTGTTTTAAACATAGTCACAAAAAATATTGGTATAAGATCCAGAGTCGAATGCGAAAAACTATTGTTAAACCAAAAATGTTATTTTGTAGTTATGTTAAAACTCTTTGTCGAAAGTTTAGCTGCAAAGTCTTGCAGCATTTATTTTGACCAAGTTAGTAATGAAATGGAAAGCTAAGTTTCTTTGACCAGAATACATACAAATATAAATATTAATTGGTTGATTATATAACATTGAATTACTTGACTAAACTTAGATGAGATGAAGCAACAAATATCAAATAAAGTTATCACATTAAATCTGTTTTGCTCTTTCTAGAACGCATGCCACACATTACACTCTGTAAAAATTGGTTTAATAAAAATGAATTTTAACATTTAACGTTTAATAAAATTAAACTTGAAAAGATTAATTAATGTAATTTTTCACGTTTATCATGTTTCATTTCACGGAAACTGTTAAACCATTTTCACAGTCAAATTATTAACAACACTTCAGATAATATACGGATTAATTTGAGGCTAAATAAACACTTTCGAAAATAAGAAAAGAAGATAAAAAAAAGACAAAGAAATGAAAATACTGCTATTATAATAATTAAACAAAAGTATAGTTAGCTTAATTTAAAACAAGAGTAAACAGATTTCCAACTACATAGGTAAACCACTAAAGAAGTAAAAGAGACGGTAAATATAAGAAGGGAAGATACATTTAATTTGAAAACTAATATTTATGAAATTAAAACACTTACTTATCATTATCAGTTCACTCTCAGTGAGATTTTTTACTTTTCAAATGAATATAAAACTCCTTTATTCACAAGTTACTATGATTTGTAAATTCTGAATCAATTATATTATATACTAGCTTTATTACGATAAAAAAATTGATAACCACTTGATTAATCAAATTCTTGTAAATGCGATATACGATTAGGGTTCTGGAAAAGTTCTAAAAAACTCTTTTTAGCTACCGGAATGTCTTGATACGTTGGTTGAAGAAACAAAGGCAGTGCTTGTAATTGTGCCAGAGTATATTCTGGTCAGAGGCGGCCTTTGGGGGTGGCGAGGAGGACAACCGCCGAGGGCCCGCGCACTCACGCAACAACCAAAGAAGTTTTTTTTAATTGAATTTCGTGCCTCGCCACTCGCTACTTGCGCTCTATTTACGTTTAGAGATTCACCGTGCTTCATTTTGAGTGTGTCAACTATCGTCGTCTTACGTTTTCATGATCAAGCAACGGTATTGTGTTGCGTTGCTGTTTATTCTAAGTAATATCACAAAAACAAGTGCCTCGCAATGATGTACCAGCCCTGGGCCTCGCAATGGCTAAGTTCGCCCGCCACTGCTTCTGGCGTTTTCTAGTCAGGAGAGAGGAATTAATTATATTTTTGAAGGGTTTTATTATTTTTTACTGTGTACGGGGTAAAGGACCACCTGTTGGTAAGTGACGAATGCTGCCCATGGACACCTAAAACTTAAAAGACATAAGTTGGTTGTTGTCTAAATAGTGCAATCTTTCACATTCAGAGGGGAGGGGGTTTAGGTTCCAGTAACCTTATCCACTCGATGTAAAGCAACGCAAGAATTTTTCTTTCCTTAGAAAGACAGACAAAGACACCCACGGGATGAACATTTTGTGGGCTGTCCCAGTGACACCGATACTTCCAAGTTTTTTAGCAGTAAAAAATGGGAAACCATATCAAATGTTTTTTTCAAGCCTATGAAAACCCCTAGTGCTATTTGTTTTTGATTCATTTTTGTTTTGACTGTCGTTATTAAGTCTGTTGTTGCGCTAAGTGTACCGACTTGGGCCGGAACCTGTATTGTTGCTCGTATAAAAATTTCGTTTTTGTTAGGCATCTAGTCTTTTATACATAATATTTTCTAGTATCTTGGATAGTATTGGTAACACTGGAACAGGCCGATAATTGCCAGGTTCAGATTTTTTTCAGCTTTAAATATAGGAGTTATTTGGCTACTTAATGTCTGTTAACATAATGTTTTTTACTCAACCCTCAAGATCATTTTAAAGGTTCTGAAACCACGGTATCTTATACACATGCATACTTTCACGTCTAGATCACGGATGGGGTTGGTAGAGGCGTTGTTATCGCTTACATATTGCCTACTATAGTTTGAGTTACTCTTACACAGTATTTGGCACACTGTGTTCTTAATTCTTAATGATTAGTAAATAGATTCAACTTTGACTGCACGGATGGCGTAGTGGTTTAAGCGGTCGCCACGCCGCTTACTACTATGCCGAGTCTTGTGAGTTCAAACCGCACATGGGACGAAAAAACCACAAATGGTTGTTCTGAGAATGGGGTGTTCTTTGCGTCCATTTCATGTATGTTTATAAAGTCCCCCGCGACACAGGATATATTCCTAATGCGGGAGTTGTCTTTTTTAAATAAAAAACAAAAAATTCATTTGCCGATTTCTGTGTTCTTTTCTACCGTTTTTTGACATTAACTTCTCAAATTTACCATCTAATTCCTAAAGGTGCCGGATAGCGACTGCCAAATGTTAAACTCATACTTGTGTTTTGTTTAACTTGGAAACCATCAAAAGTAGTCCCCAACCCCCGACATGTTGAGTACCACAGGGATCAGTGCTTGGGCCCTTAATTTATGTTAATAATATCCACGAAGCAAGCTTAAGGGGTCAATTAACTCTCTACGCAGATGATGTGTTTATTTTATTATGGGCAAAACTCAAATGAAATCACACAATGCGCGCAAAAAGACCTGAATATTTTACAAAACTGGTTTCAGTATAATCTGCTAACGATGACGGGTCTGTTGGTAAAGTGGTTAGTGACCCTGACTGCTAAACCGGAGGTCGTGGGTTCGATTCCCACCTAGAACAAATATTTGTGTGATAAGTACGATCGTTTGTTCTGTGTCTGGGTGTAAGTTATCTATAATATGTATGTATTTAGAAATATATAAGTATTTTTATCAGCAGTCTGGTTATCATAGCACAGGCTCTGCCTAGTTTGGGATCGGACGGCCGTGTGTGAGATGTATGACGTTATTTTATTATTAATAATAATAAATACTGCAAATACATCATATATAATTTTCAGTGCCAAAAATAAAATAAAATGCGACGGGACAGTGCCATAACCTGGCGAGCACACATAGATACGTAGAATCTAAACTCTCGTCGCCATAAGGATCATTACGTGGTACTGTTAGGTGTATACCACATAAAGTTCGCCTTCTAATATATAACGCCCTATTAAAGTCTCACCTGTCTACCTCATTGAGATTTGGGGCAATACAGCTAAAATTAATATAAAACCAATACAGGTATTGCAAAACAAAATTATAAAAATACTAAATAATTTCTGACTACTTTTTCTTTTCTTTTTTTACGTGTGGAAACCCGCTTGGGCCGTCACCCCACCGGGGTTTGCGGCAGGTTGGTGTATCGGAATCGGACCGACTAAAACCACTCGGTGTGCCACTCTGCGCCTATAATAGAAGTCATCCGGGCACTGCTGTTATTAAGACATCCGGACCCCTCCGAACAGGCCGTAATGGCGCGGGTTACATCCCCGGGCACATTCTCCATATATTCGCAAATAGCGCTCCATATAGCGCTTTTCAAATTCCACGCAAACGAAGTCGCGGGTACCAGCTAGTTTTTAATATTATTGTAAAACGGAAAAAACGCTTTTAACTTGTACCACCGGTCATTATGGTCCGATATCACATGCTTTCAGTACCGAGCTCGCATTTTTGGACAACCGTCATTTAATGAACGTTTTATTACTTAAAACTAACTGCACCGGATTATTGTAAACATAACTTATAATCTTCGATCAACAAAAGCAACAATAGCAAGAGAAAAACTTTATTTGTTGCTCAATAAGATTGATTTTACACTAAATGTTATTTAAGTTATGTCTTTTCGTTTGAAAGTAATAGGAGTAATTCATTCCTTTGCTCGTTTTTTTGCAAGAAATGATCGTAAGTATTAGATAATATTTTGAAGATTTGTGACTTTATTACTGTGTAACATAGTTGTAATTAGGTTGAACTTAAAACTATTTTAAAGCTTTTCCATGCGTTTGTTGGTAAACAAATGCGGCTGCATAAGTATATATTCACGCGGACAGCATTTTTCTTTGACTTTGTACGTGACCCTTTATCTAGTTGCTATTGTTGATCGAAGCTTATAATATATTGTTCTTATGTAAATGACTATGTCTTAATGAGAAATAAAGATCTTTAAAGCGATATTATGTTCTACATATCAGTGAATCATGGACCCTGAAAGAGTATACAGCCAGACGCTTAAATGCGTTCCAAACATGGAACCATGTTACCATCGTATGTTTCGGGTCAGTTAGATACAAAGGGTCAGAAATGAATCCGTGCTCAATGTCTGTACTTCCCATATCCCAGCTACCTGCTTAGACACGATGCATATTGAAAGCTTAAAATAATTAAGAATGGTAGAAGGAAAGAGATGTATAGCGTATAAACCAATTTAAATCCACAGTGAAGCGTAGGCGGTGTCATAAGGTCTTTTACTCCATTGTCGATTACATAGAAGACTAGAATGTTTGGGATTAATTTAGCACAGCTGTCGGGTCATGGCACAATACTGTAATCTAAAATACCTGTCTAAAATTTACGTTATAACGTTAGTTTTACTCGTCATAAGGTCTTCTTGTCCGTGTAGTGACGGATTAAGAATACGGAATGTCACTACCCCAATTCATCCCGTGGGTGTCGTAAGAACCGACTAAGGGCGCAAAACAACGCAGGACACCAGCACTGCAAAAAGACGGAAAACTTGACACAAACCCTAGCCTAGCCCGCGTGGTATAGTAGGCCAAAACCTTCTTTCTAAGGAGAGGCCTATGTCCAGCAGTGGACTATTAAAGGCTGTTGATGTGATAATGTGAAGGTCTTCTATGCCATAAAACCTTTCTTTTTAGTGTACGATGCTTATCTACCAAGATATTAGAAGTTTAGAAAACCTTTTATTAAAAAAAAATGTCTTCTGCAAAACTGCAAATTCGTGTAAAGTGTCTTGGCTTGACAGCGCCGCGAGTTTGTAGTTTACCTACAGTGTTTGGTTCAGCTAGCCGATACCGGCAGTACGAATGTGCTTTCGCTATCTTCCTTGGGTATACGAGTACCCACGTACTATCCCCACGAATGTTAAAGCAGAGCGCTGCTATTAGGCGCATGCGGGTCTAAGTGTAACGGCGGTTTCTATGATTTATTTAATTCGATTTAATTGGCGCATTAGTCACGTTATTGTCCTTAACTGTTAATAAATTAAGAACATAAATTAGTGGAAATCATAAGAAATTATTGATAAATTTGTGTGTATTTGTGGGTTCAAACCCCACATGGAACGACACTTTGTGTGATAGACAAATTGTTGTTCTAAGTCTGGGTGTTCTTTGTGTCCGTTTCATGTATGTTTGTAAAGTCCCCCTCGACACAGGATATATTCCTAATGCGGGAGTTGTCTTTTTAACAAGAAGAAGAAGAACAAGAGTTCCTTGTCTTTTATAGTATCAAATGTTACTGAAGAAATTGCAGCAAGCTCCAGCGTTACTCAAGAAGTGTCTGGCAACCTGTTATTAGAATATAGCCCAAGAAATATTAGTATGTAAAAATCACGAAATGTTAGAAATGAACTTGATGATACAATCTACATCCCGCTCTTTAATATCCCAGGAAATGGAAATTTAGGCTTGTTGACTTAATTTGAAAAATGGTTA